AGGTCTTGGACGTGGACCAACCCCCAGTACATTGGGCGTCTAAACCCCCCAACGAGGTTGATGGCCATCCCGAAAAAAACAGTTGGGATTGGTGAAACCCTATGAGCACCACCTGGTGCGAGGCGGCTGAATCCACCTTGTGGATAATGTTCGAATTTGTGTTTCCCGTGAAGGTTCCCCGTGAATTCTAAATGTTGGGCCACTATCTGATCAAACTGTCAAAGTCAACCAGGAGTTTCTTTTTGAGGGTACCCCGTTTTGTTCTTCAGTTCTTTTTTTGAAGGGGGGGACAAAAGGACTAGCACCCTAAACAATCCCCTTAAACACAACCAAAAGCAACTCGCAGAGCCTCCATGCGTTCCGTTGGTTCGGCTCCTGGATATCCAGCTTCCTGTCCGCGCCCGCATACTGCCTGAAGACCTCCGACACCTTCCGCTCCTCGGTCCCCGAAGGTCAGCTCTGCCGAGACGATCCGAGCCGAGCCGAGCGGATCCGGGCGATGGCGTCGGTTGGCAACCCCAAGGTGGATAGAAAAGCTGACTCAAAATCAGCTGCCTAGATTGGCACCACTTGTTGAAAAAAAAATCAGGGTTGTCAGAATTCGGGGCCCTTTCGGGATTCCCTTGCCAAGACGGCGCAAGGCGGAGGGTTGACAACCCCCCAACACCAGAGTGAAAAGGGTCTGGAGAAACAGCGCAACATCCTCTTGCTGTGCCCTTGAAGGAAATGGCCACATGGGCCACGCCAGGATGAAAGCAAATGACGGTTCCCGTGCCAAAGTAGGAAGGGGGGGTAACTACGCCAAATTGGCAGGTAGTGTGTCATCTACTTTCGCCCTGTAGATGTGCCCGAAAACAATAAGTCAAACACCGGAAACAAGAAATTCACTGGTATAGATTTGTAACATTTTAGAACAAGCCATGGTATATCATGGGTTCATAGCATTCAAGGTTTGCACAGAGCTTCCATTTTTCTCTCAAAACTTCACCCCTACAAAAGAAACGCACCTTACCCGCGCCCAAAATGAGTTGTCTGAAGCCACCAAAACGAGAAACAAGGGACCTGCTTACTGTCCTACAAGGAGGCTGCGAAATTGCCCACAAATGCAAGACCTTACAGCTGCCTAAGCTAGCCTAAAAAGGACCACAACCATCCAAAAATGGTCCCAACGTTTGCCAATATCCCATTTGAAGTTGAAATTTGGGGCTGCCTTTTATTTCTTGTCTTTTGGCGGGGAGGGGGAAGCTACCAAACAATGGTATAGATCAATTTCACACGATTTGGCCAGGCCACGTACCCTGCCTTACTTTCCGAAACTTGAGGTCGCTTGCGCGGCAATGGCGGAAAAGCAAAGAAAGAGGAGTGGCACAGTGGATGTGCGAAATCCTGCGCCACGTTGAAACCATGGAAGCCATCGATTGGCTGTCATTTACCAGGCGAATCATCAGGGTTTCGGTGCAGGATTTTGTCCATCCGCAGCACGACCGAGCGATAAACAGGGACTTCCTGTCAACACTGCAAAAAGAAGGGTGAGAGAGTTGTTTGCAGGGTGTCCGTGGGAACTTCGTGTGCCCTTCCAAAAGGACTAAATACGTTGACCAAACCTCGCACGCACGAAAGGAGAGGTGGAAGGGGAACCTCACTTCCTGCGTGGACTAGCTGGAAAAAAAAACTCCAAACTTGTTATTTGCCACTAAAATTGTCTTTCAAAAAAACCAAGTCCTGGAAAGAGGAACACACAATGAGCACGGAGAGAACTGCGTGGGTTTAAATTCCTCCCGGCATGCCAAGCGCAAAACCACGCTCACCTGCAACCCTCTTCACTATTGGCATTTCCTCTGATAGGTGGCCCCATCTATTGTGCGTGAATTGATTTCCTTGTGGCTTCCCTTTCAACACCCAAAAGGGTCCCTGATATTAGCAAACACCCGTCCCCGAATGAGAGTTTCTAGAATGAACTTCGGACCCATTTTTCGGGTGGTATTCAAAGGGAAGCTTGCAACCAAGGCCGCGAAATGTGCGCTTCCCTTTGCTTTTCCTTCACACCGACCCTCAAAAGAGGACCCCCTTTTGGTTGGGATTTACAGGGACCCCAAAAGCAAGCCAACCACTTCCGGCTTCCCTTTCCAAAATAAAGTCACAAGCCGCCCGCCCCAAACCGAGGTGACACCTAGAAAACGATTTGGATGCGCTTTTTGTGGATTTCGCCTGTTCTTCCCCCCTTAGGTTTTTGTTTAGCACTTTATTTATATACTCTTTTAATATCCTACAGAGGTGGATCCACGGATTCGCCACATCCAACTCGTTTCCACGGCGAGTCCCGTCCAAGTCTCGAGGGCCGCCTTGTCCTTCAAGACCTCCGTCCAGGCCCCGGCCGACTGCGAGGGCGGCGCCTGCTGCATTGCCGCCTGTAGGTCCTGGAGGTTGGTGTACTTCTTCCCCTGGCGCCGAAATGGGCAACCCTTTTTGTTGGGGTTGATTCCCCATTCTTCTCAACCAGCCTTCTTTGCACCTTCGGGAGGAAGGACCACATGAGTCCTAATCAAAGCTCGAGTGCAAAAGGGTCGACCCAGAGCCATGCAAAGAATTAAGAAGGCGGCCGCAGCTATTTATGGCTGGGATTGTCCCTTACTAATCTTCATCTACTCCGGTTTTGATAGTGAGGTTTCATGCTGGCCTAGGAACCTGACAGGAGGGCTTTGGAAGACGATGCTTTTTGGGGAACCCCCCCCCCCTTTCCGTGATTGTTGGAAAGAGAGTACCCCTTTTTGGGGCTGCCTCACCGGGAAAAAGACGGGAAGACCCAGTCTCCGTGTTTCGGGGTCCATTTGACACATAGCGCTTCAGTTTGTCCAAGGGAAGGCAATTTGGCGACCCATCCTTGGGAGAGTCTTTGGAGGATTCCTGATGGAGGTGAGGCATCGAAGGAAACTCAAAGATTTGATCGGTCCCGAGTTCAAGGAACCTACAGACAGAAACCACCTGACAAGGGTTAAAGCTAAACAAGCCTTCACCCCAGACTACCTTGCGGATTCGTGTGTTCTCCCAAGAGCGATGAATCCCCCGCACGTACCCGTGCCAACAGTCAACCATGGGTTCGTGGGTTAGTATGGCACATGGCCCGCCCGCCCAAAGCCTGACAAGTAAGCAGTGCGACGTGCCCTGTTCAATCCTTGAAAAGAATGGCGGAACAACCATGTGGCTGTGGGTCAAAGATAGGTACCCAAGATGGGACCCCTGGTGAATGAAAACATAGACAAAAACCTGCGGTCCAATTCCTGGTGGTTCAATTTTGACCCACAGCCATATGACCTATGGCCATGGCTCTCTTAATCGGAATCATTAAAACGGTTACTAGGGATCCTTGTTGTGGCCTGTGACTTGGAGCAACCCCCTTGACAAGGAGAAATGCCCCAGTTGGCAAGTGGCTGCCATCCAGACTTCTGAATCAACTTGTTTTGTGCATAGATTGTTGTTTGACTTGTTTGACCAGCGAAAGTAAAGAAAACCAATCATTTGGCCGGACCCTCTAATCTTGAGACACTCACATCTTTTCAGTCTATCGAACGCATAAAGAAACTGAAGCCGTAGAGTTGGCTCGCTGAGTTGCGGCTACCGGTAAGTCGAGGTCCTGCGCCGAAGATCCCTTTCTTCGCGCCTGGTAGACATAGTGCGCCGCAGGTGCAACCTCCGGTTTTCGTCACCCCCTTGCAAAAACCGCAGCCCAAAAAGCTCAGCCGACACCTCCGGCGAAGTCAGGACCACATGGCTGTGGCTCAAAAAACCCCCGACTCAAAATGGAACCCTGGTAAGTAGAAACATGGACCAAAACCTGCATAACCCCCCCCCCCCCCCGCATTTTGCCAGGGCCTGGACCTCTCCTGATCAACGACTTCCCCTAAACGCCGCGGTCAAGCGCTCGCAAAAAACATGCCGCCGGGCGGCGGGGGCCGTGCCCAGGGCATAACCGCTGCTGGTCATGGGGCCGGAACCCACGCCATGGTAGGGCTGCATGTCCGGTGCCTGCAACAAATGCGCATCACTCATGCCCGGAACTGGTTTCATGCAATACACGCCCTGTAAAGACGTTTTCTTCCCAGTGGGCAGGTGTCAAAATCGGGGGACACCCCAAAATTATTTCAATTGGTGGCTTTCCTTTGGGTTCCCCTTTGCAACAACCCGACAATGGGTCCTCTCCAAAGAAGTCGCCCGGGCCTGCGCAGGCCCTACGCCCTGAGCCCCATTAAAACATCTCCAACGCCATGCGGCCGCTGAGCCAAAGACAGGCGGACAGCTCTCCCCCGCCATACGCCTCTTAGGCGCAAGTCACAAGTCAGGACCCAACTACAAACACGCCTGGAGCAGATTTAGGAGCATTGGGGGTTCATCACTTGGCCGTGGGTCAAAATCCCGTACCCCCAGTCATCCCAATTCCCACTAAAATAGACTAAAATGGGTGGTGCACGTACCCCAAAAGGGTACCATTGGTTTTGACCACAGCCACTTTTTAACGGGAGCCCAAACATGAAAAGGCAAGTATACGGATTCCCTACATGTTGCAAGTAAGCCAATTCTCAACTCCACAAAGCCCACGACAAATCTGCAAATTTTCCAAAAAAATCCAAAAGCTGATGTCAGAATCGGATCTCCATGTAAAGGACCTTTGTCATGGCTTTCGCTCGTTCTATCCCCGAATCGGTGAGCCCGCGCCAAAGAGGCGCGGGAAGGATTCCTTCCCTGGGCTACCAGGGCTGTGGGAAATGGGATCCACTGTGCAACCACTTCTGACAACTCCCAAAGACACAGTTTTCCCCCAGGCTCCAAAGAAGGGATTCCCCAAAAACATCACACTTGGATAAACCCCGAGTGATCATGGGCTGAGCTGAGGCCCCAAAGACACAAGGTTTCCCCATACAAAGCAGGGATTCTCTAAAGTATCGCAGTGGTTGGATGAGCCCCGGAAAAACCTGAACAAATCTCAGCCGACTCGAGGTCCCGGCCGCCTGTCGGCCGATGGCATCCATCTCAGCGGCTGGTTGTTGGGGTGGCGAGCCACGAGGATTTTCCCTCAACCCTTGGTTGACGTTGGGTTTGGGGCGCACAAATTTTCAGATTTTAGCAGTGAAGTGGGTGGATTTCAACCACTCAACCACAATAAGCAAAAATGTAAAATGTTTCCCAACAACAACCATGAACCGGGGGTATCCCCAAAGCCGCCAAGGAACCCTTTTTATGAGCTACCTGACTTGGGCAGGGCGGAACATCCAGGTCCCAAGCCTTCAAACCCTGGCTTTTTTTAAATCCGATCCATCGGGAAACATCAGCCGCCCAAACAAAAACAATGCATGCCATGAGTTTCGTCACGGAAGATGTACGGCCAGGGACTGCCGAGGATCTTGATCCACGTTCAGGGCCTACACCTGGGACCCACTCGCTGCTCAACCAGTAAGCAAATTCAGAAAACTGTTATCCAAGTGCACAAAAAACTCCCACTTGCCAACGTGGATTTTGTTTTCCATCAGAGCGGCCCCCTGGGGCGCGTCCAAATTCTCCAGAAAAAGAAAGTGCTTTGGGCTTGGTTGCTGTTGACCCCCCTGCAAAAAAGTCTAACTTTTTGGGGGTTTAGTGGAGAACCCCTTGATTTCAACCAAAAGGTTAAAGTCTAAAGATTCAACCCAGCAGCAGTCAAGTGGGGAAATTCATCTTGGAAAGGGGTCGACCAACTTGGGACCTCCCATCTTTGCGGCACGCGGCCAGCTGCTCATTGTACACGGACAGGCGCGCGAACGCCCAGGAGGTATTCCTGGCAGGGTGCGATGCCAAGCAATACCCAAGCAAGCGAGCCACCATCAAAACCTGGACGTCACAACCGACCAGCATAAGAGATGTTAGTCGGTTGGTGGGTTTAGCATGTGTGAGGGCAAGTGCGGCCAGGCAGAACCAAGAGCCGTGCACGTCGATTCAGCAAACCGCCCATGCCAGGGTTCTCCAAACTGGAGGGAAAAACAACGACGATGTGGAGCGCCCTAGGTCCTCCAGTAGAGAGGTTAGAATATGTTAGAATAAGGGTACCCTTTTTTCTGTAGTCTATTTTAGTAGGGGAACCCTCCGCCAAAAAAGAAACAGTAAAAGGGCACTACTGGAAGACCTAGCCAAGTAGAGTGACCATTCGGAAAGCCAGGCCGGGCTGGCCCCATCTCCTGGGACGTAAGTTCGGCTGCCCTGGCCACCGCAGCCCGCCTGGCGCCAAAAAAACACGCCGGGAGCTTGGCAAGCTGCCCTCCGATCCCCTGCACTAAACCGCCGAAACCCCCAAACCGAAGGAAAAACGGCTGGGGGGCGCCAAGGTAAAGGCCGCAGCTCTGACACTAAAAACGTTCCCCGTCAAGAAAACACAAGGGGTTGCACCAGTAGGGAGGTAAGCGCAACAGTTAAGCCATGGAAGGTCAACACGACCCCGCGGGTACTCTGACGGGACAACACCCCATCCTCCACCCAACTGCCCATGAGAAAAGCCCAACCTTCTAGGAGAGCCGCAATGCCCAACTTCTGAGCACAAATGTTTGCGAAAAGCAAACCACCTCGCGACCGCTCCTGGAACCTAAAAGGCATCGCTTCCTGCTGGGCACAATGAAATCCGCACATTTTTCAGCGAGCCAACCACATGGCATCCGAAATTGGCAAGTTTGCAGCAAATTGCAGGGTTCCCCGTGCTCCCCTTGCAACATGTGCCACGGTCAAAACTCCATTTATGGCCTATGGTCATGGTTCCCTGGATAGGAACCATGACATCATGACTGATAATGGTTAAGGATCCTTAGCACATAGATGGCAATCCCTGTCAACCCCAAGATGCTTTTTCGATCATGGCACATATGGAGTTGCATCCACCCTTTGGCTCTGATTGAACCCATGCGGAATAAACTCAGGTGATATCCCCAACAGCATGCGGTGCTGTTTCTAGTGCTTGCACCACCCCGCAGCCCTCGCAGAACCTCGTGGAACCTGGTGGAACCCTGGTGGAACCCCTGGTGGAACCTTTGTGGAACCTTACCTCAGGGCGCCCGGAACACCCCGCAGCCTATCTGGGCTGAGACCCCAAAGCTTTCAGCTGTCGCGGGAAAAAAGTAAAAACAAACAAAAAGCCCTGGGAGGCCGGCGCGATCGCTTCGCAAGCAGGCTCACCGTGATGTAACACCTGGCTACATCTGGCTTGAAATAGAGGTGCCATGTTGCCCTGACATTGGCCTCGAAAATGCCGACCAAAAGGGAGCTCCCCATTTTGAGCAACTCTCTTACATGAGGATTGATGCCCCGCCACTTGGTAGATGATATTGTTCTGTAAACATGCAGCGCCATACTGCGGATGGAAAACCCCAGAAATGGTTCGACTCCCCTGCAAATGCCGCAGCAAAGTCCCTGGTTTCATTTCGTGGTGCGAGACTCGCACGTGGATTTCGGGGACCCATCCACCGGGGACACATCCAAAGATGGGCCTTGGCGAAGCACCACACGCTATTGGACAGGCCCTGCACCTCGGAGCGAGCGACGAGGCGCGTCCAACGTTTGCCTCAACAAGACTTGCGATCGCTGCGATAGGTGGGGAATGAGAAATGGAATGAACCTGGCAATTCCCTCGTTATTCGAATAATGAGGGAATGAACCTGGGGATTCCCTTAGAGGAAACCACTATTTGGATGGCTTTTCTTGCTCATTCCATTTCTCGTTCCCTGCGGAGTACCAGACACAAAAGGCTCCTTCCGAAGAAAGCTGACCACTTGGAGGCTGCCTTCAGCCGTCGAAGGCTCACATGGAAGCTAGGACCGCTTGGGAACCTTCTGTTTGCTTGAGACCGAAAACGGAGGAAGAAAAAAGGGGGGGGGAAGAACAACCTTACGCAAATGAAAGGAACATGGTTTTACGGCAGCTCCAATCACCCAGTTGCGATGGACAAAGCTGAGTCCTCCGCGTCGAACTGGTGGGCCTTCTCCCTGACTATTCCTCACAATGGCATATTGGAGCGCGTGACAAGTCGGCGCCGGCTGCGCGTTTGCCCTGGGAAAAAAAACACCGAGACCGGGCCATCCTGCCTGCTGTGCGGAAACATGAAACGTCCATTTGCTTTATGAGTATGATTTAAGTCTCTGAACGTTGCTTTGAAAGGGAAACGTGTCACTACTGGTGTCTTTGTTTACCTTTTCCGTGGGGCTTGAGTGAATGGTAGTGGATAAATGGAACATAGACACAATTCAGGTTGCTGCGGACGATCGGGAGCCGGCCTGAGGCAGCCTCCATGAACGGAAGGTCCACCACGGCCAAGCGCGCGAGACTGGCGCGTGCGCCAGTGAAGGTGTTGGTGCGATGAGTAGGGAATGAGAAATAGCATGAACCCAGGGATTACCGAAGAAAGGAAACCACCAGTTGGATGGTTTATGGGGGTCATTCCATTTCTCAAGCCCTACTGAGCACCAGCAAGTTGGCCCCAAAAGGGATCAAGCGACGGCAGCTGGTCTACTTTGGAACTTTGGACCCCCCCAAGCACTAAGAGTCGACTTGAAAAAAATCATTTCGGTGCAACGCCCGAAGCCCGAAACCCGCGCCTCCACGCAGTGTTGGTGATGTGCTGCCTCCCGTGCGCCCGAGGAACTAGAGGAGAGCATCAAGGGAGGTCCGATGAACCAAAACAACAACAAGAACCAGGGAACCAGGGATTCCTGGGCGTATCCCCACCAAACACCAGAGGACAAAGCAAAACGTCTGGTTCTTCGAAAGAATGCTTGACAATAATGGAACTGGACCATGGTTCTTGCATGGGCTTTTTCTCCAGGTATGGAACCTCTTAGTTGGTGGTTTGGATTGGTGTTGAGGGGTTTCCCATTTACTGTCCACAAGAACCAGGCTTCAAATCCAACTCCAAACGCTCCAAACCACCAATCCAAACCAATTCTCAGTTTCCATGGTTTGGTGTTAGGGGGTGGTTACATATTTACCCTCTGCAAGTAGCAAGGGTCTGAGCTTGCTGGTGCGATAAGCGTGGAATGAGAAATGGAATGACCCCTATAAACCATCCAACTGGTGGCTTCCTGTAAAAGAAGCCCCAGGTTCATTCCCTCATTTACCCCCTTTTCAACCATCCAACTGGTGCTTTTGTTCCTTTCGGGAATCCCCAAATTCGTCCCATTTCTCCTGCCCCGGGCCCTACCTGTGGCACCGATCGCAAGCCTCGCATCCTGAACCCTGATCCGAGGCGCTGCTCGAACTCGTGGATACGTTGCACTGCCGCGCCGGCAATGGCGCTCAGCGTTGCCATGTGCTGACCTGATCCCGAAAGACCAGGGCTTGGGTTTTTAGTAAAATAGTGTCAAAGTGGGCAGAAGGTCAAACACTTCTAGCGGCCGATTCCCCATTTCATTCTTTTCAAAACCAGCCATTTCCCCAAGGTTTGTGGCGGTGTTCCAGAAAGAAGGATCCCTGGAAAGAATGGGGAAGCTATCCCTAGAACACTCGGGAAAAAAACACCAAACAAGAAGGAAAAACTGGAGCCCGGAGATTGCCGCCCACACTCAAAACGAGAGACTAACGGTCGGTGAATGGAAACATGGACGACTTCACCGGTCCATATCCTGGTGGTTGAATCTTGACCCATACTCAGAGTTCTCAGGTGGCCCCTAAATCTGCGCAATCAAAAGCAAACCGTCGAAAATATGGTGAGGCCCTGTAAGCGAGAATTAGCTTTGGATTGGGGACTCAACCTCTAGTTGTTGCCATCCCGAAAAAGTCCAAACCAAGTCAATTGGAGCACGGGGCTGCCCTGGGTGGTTGTTCTCAACAGCACCCCTAATATGGTTGATTTCGGTTGGGGTTCCATGTCGATTCCACCACTGGTGGTTTGGTTTCCCATTTACCCTTTACAAGAACCAGAGGTCCAAATCCAAATCCAAGCCACAAATCCAAACCACCAATTCATGCGTACGGTACCTGGACCTATTGCCACCCAGAAAGGGCGCACCCTAAACTGGTTGGTTTCCTTTGGGGTTCCATGTTGATTCCACCCTGTTGCCCGGAAAAAACGGGGGGAACAACTCCCCAAAAAACCCCACGCCCTCCCTCCCCTCCCTGCAGCCCCGAGCCCTGCAGCCCTGGTGCAGCTGGAGCCCTGCAGAGGCCCCGGCGTGCAGCCAGGGTGGCAAAGCCCCAGGCGAGGTTCGACAGCTCCTAGGCCGGCAGTGGGTTTGTTTTACTTGGTGCGATAGGCAGGGCACAAAAGCCATATATTTTTTGGCAACGAATCCGGGTGGTTTTTTTTTTCTCCGAGGGATTCGAACCCGCAAAGGAAACCATAGGCTGGATTCCGCAGCAGGGAATGATGGGTGTTGGGGGATAAATATATTTGCTTCTTTGTTTGCCTGTTTGCTTGTTTTTTTTTGCTTGTTGGGGCCATAATTTGGGGCTGTCTCAAACGAAAACCAAGAAGGAAACCACGACGTGGGTTGTTGTTGTTTCCCGCAAACCCGAGAGATCGCCACTTGTTTGGGGAGGGGGGGGGGCAGGTTAGCAGACATCAAGGTGCGCTGTTCAAAGGCTTGGGCCAACAGCCTGCTAAAAAACGACTGAATACATTCCATTCAATGTGGGTGTCAGTTTGCGGAAGCTGTCCCCTGGCTGAAGCCTGGTCTTCACCATAGCATTAACACCCTGAGGTCAAGTACCAGCTAACCCCAGTTCAATGATCAAGGCGGAAAAGTTTCGAAAAGCGCCGGCTGGCGGAAACCGGGTCCTGTGTTTTGCAGCTGGCCAAGCACTTCTCCAGCCTTTGGCCAGTCGCGTCCAGCAGCTCTTCGTCCCAGTAACCTGGTGCCGCGTGTGTCGCGTCACGCGCGCGAATCCGTGGCGGCGTGCCAGAATCCGCGCATGCCGCTGCGACAGAGGATCACTCTGAGGAAAGTTGTGGCCGCAGGAAGTCGGAACCCACGCAGATTTTTCTTTTTTTCTTTTTTTTGCACGGCGTTCACCAGGAGAGCTCCAATCGGCATGCCCGGGTTTCTGGAACCGGGGCCCCGCGCCCAAAGTGGCAAAGGCCCAAGAAATGCTCGCCAAGCACATGGCGTCAAAATCCTCAGTATCCGGAACCAAGGGCCTGCCATAGGCCAAAACTCTGCCCCAAGTACTTGCGGATGGTGTTGTTCAATCAAGACTTGCCAAAAGTGGCGTCTCAAGTGGAGGCAGCGTTCACGGCGGATTCCCCAACGCGCGGAACCGAAACAAAAAGCAAATCAAGCCCTACACGGAGATTGGGCCAACATTGGGCCAACTAGAAACATCTTCGTTCAGAAGGGCCTTGTTCCCGTTGCAAGCCACCCCGAGGGCTCCCCGCGGTTTCTGGGTCCAAAATTGCCCAGTGGTTGGATGGTGGTTGGTTCACCTGCGCCAAATTTGGGTCCGTCTCAGAGTGAGAGACTCTTCCATTTGCTTAAGCCCCCAGAAAAAATATGACAATAATTCCAGTAGGATGGACTTGTGTCACCCTCCAACCCGCTGGTCAGCCCCGAGGTTTGGACGGAGGACTCGTCCTGGCGCCAGGACCGCACAGGATGGACCAACGCGCAGTGGGGTCAATTCCAAGAAAGCGCGGGGCCCATGAAGGGTGGGGTTGGGTGGGGTGGCGTGGGTGGGGTGGGGTGGGTGTTGTTTGAGTAGTTGGACCCTGTGAGATTTCAGTGCCTTCCGACATGCCCCCCAATAGAACTCACAGCCGTCTGTCGCCCTTAAACATCACGGGCCCCAGGCTCCGCAATGGTGCGTGGCGTGTCGCATGGCCGGCTTCTCCCAAACCCCCCTCCCGAACCAGGGTTCCGGAAACCATCTGATTTACCCGGAGTTGGATCCTCTTGATCACCTGGGATTGGGGTGATGTCTTTGAACGGCCCCAATGTAGCCTTTAAGGAACACTGTTCCATCCTTTCCACCCCTAAAAAACCTCGCCAAACCCTTTTGGAGGAGCGGGACCCCGTGAAAGCGTGTGATTTCATAAATGCGCGTGTCTTTTGTTCAGGGTACCCTTTTCTGGTTGGTTCGAAGAGGAAACCAAAGGGTGAAACAACAATTCTTAGAGGTTCAACCTTAAAACCAACACGCCCACATGATCACATGAGAGTTTCTTGCCACTATCCCCCCCCACCCACCCCCATGTTTTGGTGTTTTTGTTAAAGGGCAACCGAAGGAAAAACCGAAGCCGTTTTGGGAGTCCCACCCCTAAAACAAGACGCGCCCAACCTTTTCCCCCCACCCTTCGGCGGCGCCTGCATCCGTCGCATGGCCTCGGCGCAAAAGGCGGCCATCAGCGGGTCGCTGCGGAAGTGGAGCTTCGCGAAGGCCCAGACCTTCGACGAGTCCGGCGGATTCGGCTTCGGTTCCGGCAAGCGAGTGGCTGAACTCGCTGGCCCAAGGACACCTAGACCAAAAGGGAGAAAACCAACAGGCCGAAACCGAGTCCAGGTAAGCAAGGATTTGAAGATCATCTGGGACCACTACAAATGGGAACCCGAAATGGGACAACCAAAAGGTTGAACTCATGGTCGACGCTGGGCAACAGAGCTAATTCCTACTGGATTCAATCTCCATGAAGTTGGGTGCCAGCAAGGTAACATTGATGGAAATACCGATTAGAAGTAACATTGGCTAAACCTGGTTCTTTCCATGTCTAAGCTTGGCAAGATTGAAAAATTGGACATTGGAAATCATGGAGCCAACAACAACAAATTACGGATGATGATTCATTCAATAGTCTTGGACGAAACTGCAACGTGGGAACCAATTGGAATTCAAAAGCCAGAGACAACGGTGCTGTCTTCAACAAGACTGCAGGGAACCAAGTGGCTAACATTATTCACAAACCAGCCCCCCCCCCCCCGGTAAGGGCTTCATCATGGTGACCTCGAAGAACCCGTTCGCAGCCGGACGCGGCATGCGTGTGGCAGAAAGAAAACACGTGAACCCACAAGGCAAGAGAAAGCCGTGCTACACTTCAGGACATGGCTTTGGAAAACAGGGCCTCTTTCTGTGCCTACTTGCTCTTTCAATGAAATTCATGGAGGGCATCACAAGTTGCAAATTCAAAAACACAGCCAAGGCTGGAAGAGTCCCTCGCTGCGCAACCTCCGAACGGGCGCGTTTGCAACTGGACACGTCTACGACCAACGCTCCTTCAAACGCTCGCCCAAGGGCAAACACGCCCTTTAAGGCACAAAGCGAACACGTTTCGACTAGCTGAAAAGGCACACCCTGGCCATCGGGCCCCGGCGCTGTTCGCCAGCTCTTGGGAGATGAAGTCGGCCACTCCTGGCCGGCGAATGGCTTCCCGAGAAAAGATACGGCTCAGTTAGGTGCCTTGCAGAATCCCAGTGTTCCCTGGAACCAGGGGACCATTTCCCTCATGAAGAACAAATTGAGGCCACTCTGACGGGCCAAGTCGGGGGTTGCAAAAAAACAAAGACCAAGAGCCCAGCCTCTTGCGCGCTTTGTAAAGAGAGGCTGAACCATTTGGCACCCGTTTTGCCAGAAGCAAATTGACCACAAATGGCCCACCCAGCCAAGGTAAACCCTCTGCAGATTTCACATGAAGACAATGAAAAAAACAAAAACACGTTGATCCGCAGGGGATCCGCATCGTATGTATCGTCCCTGCCCGCCCCCCCCCCCAGCACCGCAACTCTTGTGCCCACGATCTTGTACACCACTCCCTCTCTCTAAGGTACAAACCCAACCAAGACATACCAAGACTCTCTTCATGCCTCTTCGAGGCCCTTCTGGGAAAAGTGGCGCCGATTTTAAAGGGACCATGCCAAAGGTTAATGATTCTATTATTATTATTATGATTATTATTATCATCAGTATCATTATTATCATTATCATTATCATTATCATTATCATTATTATTATTATTATTATTATTATTATTATTATTATTCATTTTTAAAGCAACCGGGATTCCCCAAAATGTTCAGCACATGGATCGCCAAGTTCTTGTTTTTTCCTGGCACCTTGCCTTCAAAAACAACCACCGCCGGCAAAAAAAAAGGGCGATCTTTGCGAAGACCCGGCGCCCCGGATTCGCATCTCCAAGCGTCACGTGCGTCGGACCTCTGGCCGCGCCTGCCGCCGCCCTGGCGGCCATCACCTCCAGCACGGGGCTTTGCCGGTGCCGAAGGGTGGCCAGCGCCCACACGGCGTTGGCCACCTCGGCGGCGCTCGCAGCGAGGCTCCGCCCGGCACATCAGTGGATGGGGAAGCGGAGGCCACCGGTGGATGAAATCCTAGAAATTGAAATCCTAATTGGAAAAAATAGATGGGTTTCCCTGGGAAATGGAATTACCAAAAAGAAAAACCAGCCAATCTGAACCGGCGGAACTCATCTATTTCCAATCAACCCAAAAGGGTGCCATCCTCACCCGGCTTTTTGTTTTAGCCACCCCTCTCCAAAGCAGCCCGGCCTCAGGAGTATCCCCTTGGACAAACCCCTCTGCTTCTGGTTCCGGCCACTCGAGCCCCCGGCATTCTGGGGACCCAGGGTGTCCACTGCTGCCACAATGGAGCTGGTAATCGCTCCCATCAGCCGCGCATCTCGGACCTGCTCGCGGCGTGGCGCAGCACCTAGCCTTGTCTTTCCCTTTTCGGTGGCCCATTCGCGATGAGTTTCCCTTGCTAGGTGTCACGCGGAAATAGAGAGGAACGCTCACTTTAGAAAGAGACACGCCCATACGGCTTGAGGTTGAGCAATGCGGTGCCAGTGTGCACCAGAAAAGCCCGCCTCCAGCTTGGCCCATGACCATGCAGTAATTGCCAAGTCCTGTGCCGGAATTCGATTTTGGGCACTCAAACAAGAACCAGCCGCTTGGGACACACAGAAGGGCGGATGTCAGAATACATGGCTGGACTAATATGTCCAAAGGATCAGGATTGCAGGTTCGTCTCTGGCCACCGGGTTGCAACCCAAGCCCATGAGCCCCCTAAAAACCTGCAGATCTTCGAGGAATCGCCCGCCTTCGATCCATGCCCCTTTCTGGCAGGGCCGGCTACAATTCACAGAAAACCTTCCAAGCTTCAAAGTGCTCCAAGGGGCTTTGCGCTCGCCCGCCCCGAATCGGTGAGCTCCATCCATTTAGTCCCTGCCAGCCCCAACGCCGCCTGGCCCTCGAACTCGCTGCACCGTGCAGCTGCGCAAGCAGCCAGAGCATCCAGCAAAGGCCAATCGTGCCTCGGCTGAAAGTGCAAATGCTTAGTTTTTCTCAAAATGGTGGACCCCCCTGCTGGTTTGCACTTGTTTAAAGGTACCCCGCGAGTTGAGGCTGTTGGTTTGCATCGGCCAACAGCGGATGCAAGTCCGCGGTGTTTTTTCACGCCAGCTCCGTCCCAGGCAGGCCATAGATGAGGACCTCAAAGCACAATCCATCGTTGTGCCGAACCCCACATGTCGGCGGATTGATAAACCTGGCGGCTATATGCGGGGATGCTCCCAGGGAAGGCTCCCCACTGTTGGTGTCATATTTTTGGGGTGTTTGTCGATCCCAATTGATGCAGGCTGTTGGGCATCCACAGAAGCACTCAACCAGGGGTGCATCTGTTCCCACTAGCCCGATGTTTTTCTTCGTGCAAAGCGGCTTGGAAAACTGATGGTGTCGTAAACCCTTTGTTGGGAAGGCCTGAAAAAATAATACCAGAAAAATAACGCCAGAAAAATAATAGAATGGAAACCGATGCCCCTCTTGTTGCTGCACACGGAGAAGCACAACAAATATGCAGGTGTGGCCGCTCCAAGGCTAGGCTCCTGGCAAGAAGCACAATACCTAAGCTCAAGCACAGCCCCCCCCCAACCACCCCCGAGTTTTAAGATACTCAACGCCACCCCCAGCGTTGAAGCACCGGCCACTAAAATCGCACGCCCCCCGCAAGCCTTACCACCTGCAGCGAGCGGCCCAAGGAGTACGCCGCCGGAGAGACCACTCCTCCCTCGGGGCCAAAGACACCACCTGGCAGCATTTAGGTGTTGCTTTCTTTTTGGCTGTCCTCGTTTTTGGATGTTTTTGGCTGCCCTCGTTTTTTCGGGGGGACTCCCCCCCCCACACAAAAATCCAATTGCTGGGTTTTCCTTTTGGTGTTCCTTTCAAACCCACCTTAAAAGGGGCTTCATCCCAAAAAAAGGACACACACCCTGGTGGGCGCCCCCACCCCACCCCTCCGGGGCATCGCTTCATTTCGGCACCCAAGGCCCACGCCGTGGAGCTGCTCCTTTTGGGGGTGGGGCGCCACAGAGATGAAGGTTGCCTGGAGCCATCGGATCGATTTGGTTCCGCAGCCGGCGGGAAAATCGCTGGGTCCCAGGTTTTGCCCAGAAGTGTTACAGCAAATCAAACTGAGCGGTTGTCAAAATGTGGTCCCAGAGGTTCTTTCTCCAGAAGCACCAAATCAAACGGATCGGTGGTGAACATGGAGCCAACTCAATGTGAAAAACTACGAAGGCGGATATCCGCACCTAGTTCTGAGTGGGACTGTCCCTTACTCACCTTCACTTACCCGTGTTGGCTACTCAGGAGTCTGCCTAACCCGTCCCCAACAGAAAGGCTGGAGCTTCAAAAGAAAAGACACGCCGGCAGCGCTGAGATGGGAATGCCGCTGGTACTGCGCCCAAAGATGTTCCCCATGGAGATGTTCCAGCCTGGGCCCCTCCCGGCGCCCCTTTTCGACGTCGACCCTTCTGACGCTTCTGAGCGCCGGGCCGAAGTGCCAGCCCAAGGCGAAGCCTGGCGCGCTTCAACCCTCGGAGTTTCCCTTGTCTTAGCTGGAATTCTGGGAAGCCATGTTGGACTGTGCAGCCAAGGCGCCTAGACGATTCCCCGTCAGCAGGACATTCAAACCGCCGGCCATGCCGCCCACAAAGATGTTGAGCCTTGGAGCCAACCCGCTGGTCCCGATAGGGACGCCCGGAGAAAAAAAAGACATTGGGGCCGGCGCATGCTCAAAGGTCTGGTGCCTCCGGGCGACGGCAGGTGTAACACCACAAAGAACACCTGGCGCCAGGGATTTCATGTTTGAGGAGCTCCCCTGCAAAACATAGAGCCAAAAACCCACCACTTGTAGAGGAAACGCCTTTTGCGAACCTCCCTTTTGGGTTCCATGTGAATTTGTAGGGGGGCAATGGGGGCATGCAAACCCAAAGGTCGTCACCCCAAGCCCCAGAGGCCTTTTGGTGTGAAAATCGCCCACTCGTGGCTTTAAAACCCCCGTCTTCAGGCGCGTCGCAGACTCCAGCACCATGGCGAAAAGGAAGGCGGCGATGCCGGAAAGATGCCCGTATGCCATGCCTCGGCCACAGTTTCCCGACGCACTTGGCTTTGCAGCCCCCACCCCAACCAACGCATGAGCCAAAAACAAGAGCAGACTCGGATGAGCCTGACATTTCATGACTTTCTTGCGCCGTCTGTTTCAAACACTTGCCCACTCTCGCCCCCCTTTCCGGCCAAAGCGCCGGCTTCCGCCAGGTTGTACCTGAGACTCTGAGAGCACGGCTTGGCCTTGAGCTTCTTCCACACTTTCAAAGAAAAAACGGCCAGGGCACAGCAGCCAACCACGGACAGGCAGCTCCTCATTCATGGCCACATTCCTGGCTCGAGTCGAATCGAGCCTTGCCGGACCGGCCCAACAGATCTGGAGAACCCATCCGGCCGATGGCTGAGATATACATGGGGGGGGACGCGCCAAGCGGCAAGTGGAAGACCACGTCCCAGAAAATGCACATCCAGAAGTTATCCGACTTGTCAAAGACCTCCTGTGAACAAAGTGACAAAGGCCGCGTTGAGAAAAAGAAGAAAAACACGCGTGGGTCGGATTGATTTTTTGATGTCGGGACGACATTGAATTGGCACGCTAAGCTGCGAAGAACTGCAGGAAGACCACCCAGCCGGCCATCAGCTCCACCAAGAACATGCACCTGAGCAGCTCGCCTCGCCTCGTGCCTCATGCCTGGTACCTCGCATTGGATGCCTGGCGTGGACAGCCTGTGGAGCCCGCCGCCAATGTCCGGATACTAGGAGGACTCCGCTTGTCCAACCAAACACGCAAGTCTCCTCTCGAAGGCACCCCTAGCGTGACAATAGGGGAAAGGACATACTGTGCATGGACGAAATCCTGAACCACTTTGAAACCAGGGTTGAAGCCATTGTTTGTTGGTCATCATTCCAGGGTTTCTTAGGTGCTGCGAAATGGATTTCGGATTTCGTCCATCCACAGTAGGACCCCCCCCCCCCAAACCCCACAGGCCGAGGTGCCCCACGATGACCACCCCCACCGCCAGCCCCGCCAGGCCGTCCGCCACGAACCGCCCGTCCAGGCGGAAGCCCAGCGAAGCCAAAGGCGCGTGGTCCATGCACCGGGCCATGAACCAAACCCCCAGGAACGCGCCCACGCCTCGGCTCGGGGTTTCGGCTCGCTGCATCGCGCCGGGTCAAATTGGAACCTCCGGAAGCTTCGAAATTTGGGAGAGCTACCAGGAACCCCAACCAATCAAACCAATCAAACCATTTTTGGGCTTCAGGAGGTACAGCGGGATTCACAAAGCCCAGTTCGCACCACGGTGGCTTATCCAAGTGTTCATGGCGAGATGTTGTCCGGTGGCATCTGTGGAAAGTGCTGAGTCTCACTCACACCTCAAGGGTGTGAACTTCAAAAAATGTGGCTCACCTCACCCCGGTTAAATGGTCACCCTCTTTCCAACGTAGAACTTCACCAACATACCCACCTGTGTGCAATCCAAGGTGCCAAAGCGTGCCAAAGGTCGCAACAGACAAACAGCTCATAGAGTGAGTTGTGTTTGCTCTTTTCACCTTGGTTCCAAGGGAAGCCAAAAGAAGTACAATCTTTTTTGATACCCTCCCACCAACTAACATGGAACCTGAGAGGGGGATCCTGGTTTGGACCACGTTCCTTTTAAAGGGAGCGGGTCCCGAACGTCAGGTTCCATGTGGAAAGGGTGGGAGGGTTGCTCGAACCACCCCGCCGCCCTCGCAGAACTTCATGGAACCCTCGTGAAACCCTGGCGGAACCCTGGTGGAACTCTCGTGGAACCTTACCCAGGGCCGCCCCGGACTAGCCCGGAGCCTATCTGGGCTGAGACCCCAAAGCTTTCAGCTGTGGGGAATTAACATTACCCTTATGTCTTTCAGCGCATCTTCTTGCCAAGCGGCCCATGCCCAGGCGCATGCAAGCATCCTTGCCTCGGAAAGGCAAGGGCGCTGCAGGGCTTGAGGCTGGCCCCTGATAAGGTTGGTTGGGACTCACCTCGTGGGGTCCCTCCAAACCTCAAAATAACACCTCCTCTACAAATGGATGCTTGGCTTCGTTATGATGCTTGTTTGATCAGAACACCCCGTCACCCCAGTCATCAAGAATGCCTTGGCAAGCATCCACCCTTGCTGAATCAACTTGGGGCCCCTGCACCTCCCCCAAAAAAAGACAACCCAAAAAAACCACGCTCCAAAAGAACAGCTCCCCCGACCCGACCTTTTTTGCGCTTCCACCCGCAAACCCCCCCCCCCCCCCGCCAGCTCCCAGCTCCCCAGCTCCCCAGCTGCCAGCTCCCACCCGCCGGGCGCCCGGCAGCGCTGCCGCGCGTTCACGTGGTTCAGAAAGAAGGGCTGGCCCTTGGACTTGAAGACCTTCAGCTGCTCCGGCAGCTCGCCGGGCCACGGGATGCGCCTCAGCCACGAACCCGGGAAAAGGATGCAATCCCGTCTCGCAGTCTCAACTCCCCGGTTTTGGCCCCGGACCATCCCGGACCATTTAGTTGTCCTGTTTAGTGGTGGCAAAAAAATAAACCTTTCGGTGGCTTTCCAAGCAATGGGCATCCTATGTAAAGGACCCAACCCCCAAAAAAGGGGGATGCGGGGCATTTCGGGCGGGGGCCCGGGCACATCTCGGCATGGCTTGCGCCCAGCTTCCACCCATGGCTGTGAGACTGGAGCCAAGTTCCGCTCCATCTTGCGCGAGCATTTTTTTCTGGAAGGGTCTTGAAGAACGACGCATCCCACAGTGCGACTCCCTGGCGCCTCTCCACAACATCCAACAGCCGCCTGTTACAACGCCACAGCTGCAGCCGGCCGGCGGGTCGTGGTGCATAATCTCCTCCTTGGTGGGCTCCCATGGAAGGCCGCCTCCACAGGCGGAAAGGTGAAAAAATATCCGCAGGTTTGGGTATAGCTTGCAAAAGCCCTGCTTTACTAGGATTTGGATGCGTTTACAATGTATGTAGAAAAACAAGTATTTTTTACCAGCCCGAATCAATGGAATCGCCTGGGTTGAGGAACTCCGCCCTGTTTCGTAACGAGGCCAGGGTTCCCGTGGGGGCGGGTGGACAGGCCCCAAAACCAAACTAACATCGTTTGAACATTGGCCTCGAGGCTTTGAAAGTAGACAAAAGATACCGCGGGGAGTGAACAATCATGCCTCATGGGGTAGCCTCCTTCAAGCAGCCTTGTGGAATCCCTTCTTTTGCATGGTTGTCAGGAGCCCTAGTAGCTCCTAGGCCTTATTAGTTGTTGCTTCGAATCCCACCACCTATCAAAAAGCCCTGCTTTACTAGGATTTGGATGCGTTTACAATGTATGTAGAAAAACAAGTATTTTTTACCAGCCCGAATCAATGGAATCGCCTGGGTTGAGGAACTCCGCCCTGTTTCGTAACGAGGCCAGGGTTCCCGTGGGGGCGGGTGGACAGGCCCCAAAACCAAACTAACATCGTTTGAACATTGGCCTCGAGGCTTTGAAAGTAGACAAAAGATACCGCGGGGAGTGAACAATCATGCCTCATGGGGTAGCCTCCTTCAAGCAGCCTTGTGGAATCCCTTCTTTTGCATGGTTGTCAGGAGCCCTAGTAGCTCCTAGGCCTTATTAGTTGTGTTCGAATCCACCCCTATCAAAAAGCCCTTGCTCATATAGGATTCTGCCTCGGCCATTGCGCCTGGGTCTCCGCAAATCCGTGTGCCAGTGTGTGTGTGTGTGTTGTGTGTGTGTGTGTGTTGTGTGTGTGTGTGTGTTGTGTGTGTTGTGTGTGTTGTGTGTGTTGTGTGTGTTGTGTGTGTTGTGTGTGTTGTGTGTGTGTGTGTGTGTGTGTGTGTGTGTTGTGTGTGTTGTGTGTGTTGTGTGTGTGTGTGTGTGTGTGTGTGTGTGTGTGTGGTGTGTGTGGTGTGTGTGGTGTGTGTGGTGTGTGTGGTGTGTGTGGTGTGTGTGGTGTGTGTGGTGTGTGTGGTGTGATGTGTGCGTGTGGTGTGCGTGTGCGGTGTGTGTGGTGTGTGTATGTGTGTGTGTTTGGTGTGTGTGGTGTGTGTGGTGTGTGTGGTTTGTGTGGTGTGTGTGGTGTGTGTGGTGTGTGTGGTGTGGTGGTGTGGTGGTGTGTGTGGTGTGTGTGGTGTGTGTGGTGTGTGTGGTGTGTGTGGTGTGGTGTGCGTGGTGTGCGTGGTGTGCGTGGTGTGCGTGGTGTGCGTGGTGTGCGTGGTGTGCGTGGTGTGCGTGGTGTGCGTGATGTGCGTGGTGTGCGTGGTGTGCGTGGTGTGCGTGGTGTGCGTGGTGTGCGTGGTGTGCGTGGTGTGCGTGGTGTGCGTGGTGTGCGTGGTGTGCGTGCTGTGCGTGGTGTGCGTGGTGTGCGTGGTGTGCGTGGTGTGCGTGGTGTGCGTGGTGTGCGTGGTGTGCGTGGTGTGCGTGGTGTGCGTGGTGTGCGTGGTGTGTGTTGTGTGTGTGTGTGTGTGTGTGTGTGTGTGTGTGTGTGTGTGTGTGTGTGTGTGTGTGTGTGTGTGTGTGTGTGTGTGTGTGTGTGTGTGTGTGTGTGTGTGTTGTGTGTGTGTGTGTGTGTGTGTGTGTGTGTGTGTGTGTGTGTGTGTGTGTGTGTGTGTGTGTGTGTGTGTGTGTGTGTGTGTGTGTGTGTGTGTGTGTGTGTGTGTGTTAGGGTGTTTGTTGTGTTTAGTGTTAAGGTGTGTTTGTGTGGCTTGTGTGCTTGTGGGCTTGTTGTTTGTGTGTGGGTGTGTGCGTGTGTGTGCGTGTGTGCGGGTGTGCGGGTGTGCGGGTGTGCGGGTGTGCGGGTGTGCGGGTGTGCGGGTGTGCGGGTGTGCGGGTGTGCGTGTGTGCGTGTGCGCGTGCGCGTGCGCGTGCGCGCGCGCGCGTGCGTGCGTGCGTGCGTGCGTGCGTGCGTGGGCGCGTGCGTGGGTGCGGGTGTGCGGGTGTGCGGGTGTGCGGGTGTGCGGGTGTGCGGGTGTGCGGGTGTGCGGGGGTGCGGGGGTGCGGGGGTGCGGGGGTGCGGGGGTGTGTGTCTGTGTGTGTGTGTGTGCGGAGTGACAGAATTCCCTGTCACCACAGGAAAAGCGGGGGCGTGCAGCACCTTTGGCATACTGCACGCAATGAAGCTATTGCCAAAGGTGGGAAGGGTGTCCAGACGTGGACACCTGTACCTGCTTCAGTGATTCTGAAAGTCCTTTTGGCCCCCTTGGTTGCAGCATGTTGCGGCGCTGTTTGTGCTTCTTGTTCTTTCGGGTAACGTGTTCGCTGCTAGACGGAAACCAAGTGACTGCAAGCCGAACCCACTCGAGACTCATCAGTTGTACTCGAGACTCATCAGTTGTACTCGAGACTCATCAGTTGTACTCGGAAGATTAGCACTCTCCATCTGGAGTTTCAGTGTGTACACCCCATTCGTGGGGAATCCTCGGGTGTACCCAAAAATTTGACCTCAACGTGCTTATCATAGAACGGCGGAATTTCAGATTTAATCAGGAACGAGGTTTCCCTAAAGGGAAGACAGCCGTCAGATCATAGCTACGTCTCACCCTACGTTCTTTCTTCTCGCCTTCTTCATCCGCGTGCCCGTCTTCTGGTTCTTCGCCCGCTTAGGGATGGCTTCTCCTTCCTCCCGTTCTCTTTTTGCTGCCTTTCGTGACCCGCGCGTTCGTCCCCCTCCTGTTCGCCCGCTTAGGGATGGCCTGGTTGTCCTCGCGTTGTTCAACTTTTTCCTCGTCTTCGTCTTCGTGTCTGTCTTCCTGTTCCTACTCCTCTTCTTCCTCACGTAGTTTGGCTTGACGTCTTCTTCCCCTTCCGTTGCTACTTCGGGTCCGTCCTCTTGGCCCCTGTGTGGGATTCGACGTCTTTCTCCGCGAGCCTTGGTCTTCATCCTCTGTTCCTGTCTGGGCGGGATGCGTCGCCCTAAAAACGCATACTACTACTTCCCTCTTCCTCTTCCTTCTTCCTTCTTCCTTCTTTTCTCCTTTTTGTCTCCTTGCCTTCTGCTTCTTGTTCCTTCTTCCCGGGCGGGATGCGGCGCCCTAAATACGCACCCTGCTCCTTTCTTTGTCCCCCCGGGCGGTTGCGACGCCCTAAATACGCTTTTGTCTCTCTCTCTCTCTCTCTCTCTCTCTCTCTCTCTTTCTCTCTCTCTTTCTGTGTCTGTCTCTCTCTCTCTCTTTCTTTCTCTCTTTCGTCCCTTTCTTTTCTTTCCTTTCTTTTTCTTTTTCTTTCCCTCTCTGGGCTATCTCTTGTACTTCCTGTTCGCCCGGTTAGGGATGGCCTGTTCCTCTTCTGCCTCTTTGCCTTCGCGGCCCCTTTCGTCTACAAGGTCTAGGTCGTTTTTGCGCTGTTTGGGGTTGTTGCCCTCGGAGACCCGAAACCTGGCTTCCCCGTTGTTCTTGTTTCTTGTTTGGGGTTTTGCCCGCGGTGACCCAACCTGGGGCCTTTCTGTTTCTTTTGCGCTCCCTTGCTCCGTTTGTTTTCTGTTGGGGTCTTCGCCCGGTTTTGGGGCGCGTGTTTTTTTCTCCCCCCGAAAAAGTGGTTCTCGCCCCTCTTTGAGGGGCGTGTGTGTGCGGAGTGACAGAATACCCTGTCACCACAGGAAAAGCGGGGGCGTGCAGCACCTTTGGCATACTGCACGCAATGAAGCTATTGCCAAAGGTGGGAAGGGTGTCCAGACGTGGACACCTGTACCTGCTTCAGTGATTCTGAAAGTCCTTTTGGCCCCCTTGGTTGCGGCATGTTGCGGCGCTGTTTGTGCTTCTTGTTCTTTCGGGTAACGTGTTCGCTGCTAGACGGAAACCAAGTGACTGCAAGCCGAACCCACTCGAGACTCATCAGTTGTACTCGAGACTCATCAGTTGTACTCGGAAGATTAGCACTCTCCATCTGGAGTTTAAGTGTGTGTGTGTGCGTGTGTGTGTGCGTGTGCGTGT